ATAAAAGACCAAAAATAAACTAAACGTAAGTTTTATTTCTGTCCAAGACAAATTACAAACTTTTACAAAATTTAGCATTTTAAAGAAATCAAAACAATAATTCAATACAAAACACTAAAAACATTCGCCACTAAATCTATTTAATAAAAAAATTAAACCAATATTACATTTACTATTTTGTTTCTACACAGTTGGAGATTTATAAATGGCTAATTATATAAGTTAACGTAATTGTTTATTTAACTATTTTCTCTGAAACTATTGTAATAAAATTTTTGAACATGTGATTGCAACATTTTTAAATAACAAAACTTAAAAAATTTATGACAGTTCACTTTTAAAATTTTGTTCAGTTAAGTTTAGCTAAAAGTTTAAATTTTATTTCGCAGTTTTGAATTTTTATCTAATCTCATTTAATGAAAGCCAAAATTGAAGGAATCATTTTGAAAAAGGGGTTTCTTCAATGGATCCAAATTGAAGAAGACCCTTTTACAAAATGACAGATTCAACCTTAAGCTTAAGCTACTATAAAATTTAGAATTTTAAACTGAAATAAATTTAAGAATATAAATTAACGGAGTATAATTTTTAAGAGTGTTTTACTATTACTATTAAAAAGGTCTAGTTTTTAAATATAGAAAGTTACAGAACAAATAAAACTGCATTGTCATACACAATTTTAAATTTATAATTAAAATATTTCGGAAAATTTAGTAATCCAGAAAACAAAATCATTAATTTAGAAAATTTAAATTAATCATATTTTGACAACTGGTTCAAAATTTATAATATTTTTAAAATTTTCAAAGATACTAAACTTGTTCAGCGACCTTTGGTTTAATACGAAACTAACTACAGGATAAGCTAGTATTCATTTTTTAAAAATGATGATTTATACTAAGAGCATTTTTAGTGGCGAAATGTGTACAAAAAGAGTGCTTTAAAACTAATATTCAAGACACATTACTATCCAAATACTTATATATACACAATATCGTTGACATCAACATTGAATATAAATTGAATTTCATACTCTATTGTAATACAATACATATGGTATTAAATACATATTGTTTTAAAATAAAACTGATTTAAAAATGCAGTTTGAGTCATGTTAATCTAACTGATACAAGATATTTAAGAATAACATTTAGCTTTAGGGTAACAATAATTAAAATTTCAAAACAAAATTTCAATTCAAATTTCGTTACTTTTAACTCAAAACAGTATAAAGCGAATAGGAAATTATAAAATTATTGGTAAGTTGTACTTTATAACACTAAATTTACCTTTTTCCATATATTAAAACATTTCAATTAAATTTAGGCTTATAAAAATTCTGATAAGATTTCCTTATTACATTTAAACTTTATTTATTTGGAAGACTTTCTTACGTAGAATTGAAAATTTAGAATATTAAATGCAAATACAGTTAAATTACTCCAAATTTAGAAAATTTTTGCCCTAAGACACTCCAGAAATTTGTTTATCGATTATTAGCACTTAAAGATTCATAAAAGTCAAAGTCTAAACTTATCTGCATCGAAATAAATGTTGAAAATGGCAACTATAATAAATGTTCGCTTCATTAGTTTATATATTTTAAGACTTGGAAAGTTAGAGCTGCATTTTAAATTTTGGTATAGAAATTTTCATCTCTACATCGATCACAAATCTAAGATCTAACAATTCGCAGTTTTAAATTCAGAACGATACAAAGTTTAACGCTTATTTTAAGATCTTCCATCAAAGGCAATCCTCATCCACATAACGCTTAGATCACTTTTTTTTAAAAGACTTTTAAGAGATTCTATCACTGTCTTAATCTTAATGAGTTCAATGAGTGGTCTAATTCTAATAAACACTTTTAAAGCGCTAGGGGATTTTTCAATGCACGAACCTGCAAAAATAAAATTGCAGTCCAGGACCTTACTATACTCCACCCAACCCTTTAAAATTTTATTCAAGAACTAGTTTAAAAGTTTCGATGCTGTTCGGCTGTAAGTGCTTCCTCGGAGACTTCAGGTCACGAACATCCGATCCAGCGTCACAGTAGAGGACCACCAGAACTCCAAAAGAAATAAATTAATAGTAATATTAAAGTGAAAGATTAAATCCTTATTTTTCCTTCAATGTTACTTCAACTCTAAATCAAATTATCAATAGTTTTTTTATAAACTTTGGAGTCTTTCCTCTACTAAAAATGCAACACACATCTGCCCTCTTAGTATAACTATAAAAACACTTCAGGCATCCCCTCTAGAGTTGTTTTAATATGTTTACGAACTTCACTTTCTTGAACTAATAATTTCTGAAAATTTTTATTTGAAATTTTTTTAATTTAAACACTTTGGTTTTATAAAAAAGCTCCGTCTACTCTAGTTAAAATGTCTTAAACTGGAAAATTTAAAATGGTTTAGTTAATAATCGGATTCTATTTAATATTTCGGCTTAAAAGTATTGTGCATATTCACTGGATTTTTGATTTCGTTACAAATCGTTTTGTATTGGCACAAAACTCGTATTATGAGATTTGAGGGGCTGCAGACGCAAAGCTATATGTTAATTGAGCAACTTTTTGCATTACTTTAGTTTTAAAGTTTATGTAATTTCAGACAAATATGAGACTGTCATTGGAAACAAATCTCTTTATATTTACTTTCTATTTGAAGTTATTTTTTCAAACATTAAAGAGTTTCTTTTACATTTAAGATTCTATAAAATGTTCATGTCAAAAACAAAACTAGTAGAAAATTAAGTCTGGCTAGAACTAAATGGAAACCTGGTTTTCTAGGTAAAATGAACTTAAAGATTTGAATGAAGCTAGTTATAAAGTTCTCTCAAATGTAAGAAGCGCAATTCGTAAGTTGTTGTAAATTTATAATAATTGCCGTTAAAAGACCTTTTTACAGTATTTGAAAGTTATTTTTTACTTTAAAGAACTTGCTGTGACCTTTGAAACAAAAATTCTTTAAAAATTTAGTCATTCAAAAATTTGATTTTTTATTAAAAAATAAAATTTCCGGTTAAGTTATGAATTTTTCAGCTCATTTTCTATTCAGTCCAGTCCCAATTATAATTTTACTTTTATTCAAAAAGATGTTTAGTCTTGTACTCTATTCTTATTCTACTACTGAAGCAGCGAATTAGTGTTATGGTTAATGTTAAGGTATGTTACGTGATTATTGAACAGTTAGTCATTATCTGGCTACTCCAGCAGCAAATAAGAATCATTAAAACTACCAAGTTTATGATAGACTTTAAATGTAATTTATCTTCTATTTACTATTAGTAATTTGACAAGACTAAATAGCTTATTACTTTTACAATATTAGCTACTTGCTAGAATAAAATTTTGAATTAAGTTGAATATTCTTGAGACAAGTACGCATTTTGATGGCAATTTCTTTTATTAAATTTTGCGTTCAACTGAAATTACACCAATACTCTAAAATGTCTTTGGATTTAAGCTAAATCACGCTCTAACAATTCTTTATTAAGTACTTAATTTAGAATATGTTTTATCACGCATTTGAATTAGAGTATGTAAAGTATTAAAAATTTTTTAATTATATAATTAAGTTTAAAAGTAAAAATCCTATTTAGGTTTTTACATTCATATAGTCCCCCTCACTTTCGCCCTAGGGTTTTTAGAATTTAGTAAAATAAAGAGTCACAGCCAAGTCCATTTCTTTTTCCTAACTGAAAATAAGGTTTAATGTGAAAGCAGACAAATTGTATGTTTTATCACTGTCCTAGAACTGATTAAAAATTGGTTCTACAAACTTCGTACAGAGTTACGTGTTTTTTAAGTTCAGTTTCTGATATTCAAAATCTGATACATCTGAATTATTAAATATAACTTTAAAAGTATAGATTCTTAATCTGTCTTGTGCATTTACAAAAAGCTTTGAGAATTGCTTGACATTTTAAATTTATTTATTAATTGAATTCATTGTTTTCAGAATCACACCCTTTTTAACTTAAAGTTGAATCTCATGAAGAAAAAAATCGCTAATAAAGAATTACAATGAATGTTTTTATTTGAAAGCACTGAATTTTATTACTTTCACAATAAGAATGTTAGTTGCTTCTAATTTTTGTAACAACAATCTAAATTTGGATAAGTTTGGCGAAATTACAATTAATTAAGCAATTCCGATTCGACTGAGTGATCGCCCAATGTTTTCAATTATACTAGCGTAAAGGATAACTTGAAAGACAAAATATCTGAGCAGAGTTAAAATCTTACATTCTTCTCGATGACTTCATAAAACGTCCCATATAATCTTAATTCAATTCAATTCAAATTTCGGGTAAGGAAAGAAGTTTTTCATGAATTTTAAAATTCGGTGAGCAAATCAGCGTAACTGGAGATGTTCTCTATATATGCCCGATATTTTTTATTATAAAATGATATATTTGCTTCTAACAGTATTTGCTTTCACCAATATTTATTGGAATCTTGTAATTTGACACATTAAAGAGAATGTTTAAAAAATAAAAAGTTAAAATTTATGATCTGTTTGCTCCTTGACTTTCCACAAAGTTTAGGAATATTATAATCAAAATTTAAATTAAATGTTTTTAATTATATCTTGTTTAAAAAGAATTCTTGAGGCTATTCATTAGAAAAGTAAGATTGAAACTAATATCAACGATCTAAAATATCTGCATCAGTCAAGATTAACATGTGTAGGCAATTAATGCGGTAAGTGTGCAAATTAGGAACATTCCACATAATATAAAAAGAGTTCTTGACCTGTATGGAGTTCAAAAATTTCTAGCAAAAGTTTTTTTTAAGATAAAAATTTAAATAAAGCTTGACATAAAATTTAAGACTCATACAAGCAATTTTGAAAATCCGTTAACTGGTTTATTTAAATGAAAAATAAACACTGAAAATGTGCTATTCGCAGAGTAATTTATAGAGCTTAAAAATTGACAGCCAAAAGTAAGAGTTTGCGCCTAAAGAACTTAACTAATCAAATATTTTACAGAAAATACAGCTAACATACACACCAGTAAGGCTGCATATTCATCTCATACTGTGAAATTCAGGCATCCGGGGAGCAATAGTCAGGCTGCATATTCATCTCATACTTTGAAATTCAGGCATTCGGGGAGTAATAGTCAGGCTGCAAATTCATCTCATACTGTGACATTCAGGCATCCGGTGAGCAATAGTCAGGCTGCATATTCATCTCATACTGTGAAATTCAGGCATCTGGGGAGCAATAGTCAGGCTGCATATTCATCTCATACTGTGAAATTCAGGCATCCGGGGAGCAATAGTCAGGCTGCATATTCATCTCATTCTGTGAAATTCAGGCATCCGGGGAGCAATAGTCAGGCTGCATATTCATCTCATACTGTGAAATTCAGGCATCCGGGAAGCAATAGTCAGGCTGCATATTCATCTCATACTGTGAAATTCAGGCATTCGGGGAACAATAGTCAGGCTGCATATTCATCTCATACTGTGAAATTCAGGCATTCGGGGAACAATAGCCAGGCTGCAATTAAATATTAACTAATTACTGGACCGTAAACCACTTACATTAGTAAATGAATACTTTCAAAGTGATATTAAAAAAAAATTTCAGTTCAAAATGTTACGGTAAAAATTGTACAGATTTCTTACAGCCAAAGCACTAAATTAAACCATTTTGATGGGAAGAAAAAATGAAGCTGTTTAAAAATATTTTTTAATCAAATTGTTTTTAAACTTCAGATTCATTTAATATTACACGAAAAAAAAAACGACAAAGTTAAAGGGAATTTTTGTTTGACGATTCAGTTTAGCAACCAGGAGGGTGATCAAACTCGTCCATTACTTATCATTGGAGAGGAATTTTACAAATTTTACCATTTAACAAGTTAATAAAGCTTTCCTTCAACACTGCAGAAAATCTTAATTCACAGAAGCTTTTCTAATAATATAAATTTTAAGCGAAGAAATAATCAGATCATAAAATTCACGAAACCCAACTCATTTTTTGATCCCATAAGTTGCTCTTTATTACACAATGTTCTAAAAACTTCGCATTGTCTGCTTATTCTTATCAGCCAGAAAAATCACTGTATTGTTTCTCAAGATTCAGATTTATTTAGTTATCAAGAGTATAATTAAATAAAAAATATCTGTAAATTACTTGTTTATTCTGCTTCAAACTATGTATAATCCTTTCTTAATAGTGTTTTGAAATGCTTTGCGCTTCAACACTTCGTTAAAGTTATGATCCTTTATGAAGTAATTTTATATTAACATACTAAACATTTCATAAAAATATTTATAAAATCAATCTTACGATTTTTAAACAGTAGATTACGATGTTTACATTTTTGGTAAGTTATTTAAAACATGCTGTTAAAATAATGACAAAAGTAAGACATTCTTGACTAGCAGCACTACTTAGTACCAAATAATCTACCCGAAAATTTAATAGGAATTTAAAAAGTCTTGCATGTTGCAAGAGTAACAGAGCTAAAAGACTGATTTAAGTTCTATCCCAAGCAGAATCAGGAACTAAAGTAGTGGATACATTAAAAACCTTTGATCTTTTAATTTTAATAAATTGGAAGTTCTCCTGTTAATAACGGGTGTTTGGGAGGCGAAGCCTGCGAATGGAAGTTTTGTTAAAAGTGTCAGAAAAATCCGTATACAGTTCTAAAATTTTCTCAAATAGTCTTCACGTTTCTTTTTTAAAAAAAGCTTTAAAAGTTGATAATACAGAAAATAACGATTTTCTTAATACACTATAACGCCTACAATAAATGTAGAAGTTTTAGGATAGCCGGCAAGTTTAGGAAAAACCAAAGTTCAACAAAACAAGGATTACGATGAGTATTTAAACTGCATCAGTATATAAAGTTTCAAACAAAGGTCTTGCCGAGAAACAATTAGGACCGATATCTGATTCCGCATTTGTAAAGCAATTTCTATAAATTGAAGGGTTTTGACGTGTATGCATGTCCGACCAAAGTATTGAAGTGCGCATGAGTTATTCTGCCGTACAGAAGAAAAATCAAAGTAAGCTATAAAAAATGTCAAAATTTAGATTATATTTCGCATTTCCGAAAAGCTATTTATTGCAAAAGATTCTCTTCGAAATTAAATTTATTTTTAAGAGTTTTTAAAATTCAATTTTAGGGTTCAAAGCATTAGCACTAGAAAATAGTTGTTAAGCCAATTTTCTCGAAATCTACAAAAGATACTCACTCTGTTTTTACATTCGAACCGTAGTATTTTATAAAATAAAAATTACTTTTAAACCGTCAGAACTCTGCATTTCTATAAAAAATTTCATCTTTAGTAGATAGAACTGCAAAGTATTGAGGACTGAGGGACGCAATAAAAGTCGCGACCTGAAACCAACTACATAAGAAAGCCGTGACTTTGAGGACTTTATTTGCGGAGAAATATCGCAAATAATTAGCAAGGCCAGTACCACCCGTGCTAATTACTATCGTATTGTATCTTATGCATTTTATTTGACAATTTTACTAGTTTCTAACAACCTTTGCTGGAATAGAATTTAATTTCCTTTATTAAAAATTTTACCATTTACCCGGACTTATTTTACAAAATTCATTGCTACAAATCGACTTCCTGCGTGTTTTTTTGCGTGTAACCCCAAAAATGGCGGCAACCGCTTAATAATAAGTCTTGTAGAACAAAGAACAGTTCCAGAACATTGTGAAACAACAAGTGTTTTATGAATTACTTTGTGTAAAGTATCTGCCACCACTCGGTAGAGCAAACATTTATATTTACCGTAAAATAAACACACATGATTACTTTAAGAGAATTGATTAAAGTGAAAAACATTCAATTTAGATTCCTTATGAATAGTGATTCTTTAAATAACATTGGTTCGAAAAACCATACAAAGAGAATATTAAGATTATTTCAAAATAAGTTTAACAGAACAGAAAACTAAAATTTTCGCCTTTTTTGATTAACACCGTTTAAATTTTGTATAAATAAGCTCGATTTGGTTAAAGCTCAGTTTGGTGTTCTTCGCGCTATTTTTAGTTGTTCAACATCAAGTTCGGACAGTTAGTACGCCAGTTTTCAGCGTGGTTAAGAGAATCTGGTGGAAATTTAAAGTTAAAAACCTACCAAATAGTAGAAACCGTTAGACCTTACATTTGAGAATTTCGGAGAAATACTGGTGAGAATAATATACAGTGGAACCCCGATTTTACGTTGTCCGTTTCGTACGTTATCCCGCTTCTTGTGTCATTTTCTGCTGATCCGTGAAAATTGTCTGTACCGATAATGTTAAAAAATCCCGGATTTTTGAGTCACCCCTTTTATGAAAATCCCGCTTGATGCGTTTTTCTACCAACAGATCAAATTAATTTTTTTTTATTCTACAACTCTCACACAAACTTATTTCTAGTTCTTTGAACAAGAAAAACTTGCTTTTCAGCGGCAAGGAGCAATTCTTGCATTCTTTCTGTTCCATTTGTCAATAGGGGGGTGGGTAACAACAATAAAAACTACAAAGCATAAAAACTCTAAAACAATTTTTACTTGCAAATGTAAATCAAGAAGCAAATTTGCAAAAAATTGTTAGTATTGAACGAGCTGTATACGAAATTGTAGCTAGAAACGAAAAGCAAGTTAAGATTACTCATTTTTTCCATTAATTTAACTGGTAGGTGTCAATTTTTAAAAATATACATAGATTTTTCGTAATCCCGATTTTACGTTATTCCGCTTCGAGCGTTTTTTATCGCTAGTCCGACCGAAAACGTAAAATCGGGGTTTCACTGTAGTTTGCAGAAAAATACTATCATGAAACAGAACTGGAGACATTAAAAATATTGCACTCTAACCTAAAATCCATGACTGCAAACTAGAAAACAAACCAGCTAAAGAATCTGGAATTAACTTCAAATGTAGCGAGTCTGACAAAAGAATGAAACTTAAGACATCCGCAAAAATCGAAAACTTTAAAGAATGTAGCTTTTGTCGAAGATGTTTTAATTTGTTTTTGATTTACTTAAACCTGCGGTTTAATAAATTGCTATTTAACTGTCTTTTCTTATTCCAAATTACACTAAATCTCAGTTTTAATTCATTGGCAATTCTGTTCATTTAGACCCTGAACACTCTGTTCCCTCCGATTTAATCATTTGTGGACAATTTTATTGAACCAAGAGTATGACAATACGGATTTTGTTGGACGAACATAATATACAGAATAATTTTTTCACTTTCAATTATGTTATTTTCAATGACAAAAATCGGTAGAATAGTTTTTGAACAATAAAATATCTAAAGTTATTTAATTTTTGACTTCTGAATAACTATTGGATCGCTGTTGCTTAAATTTTATATGTTACTTTGTCTTACAACTCAAAATATTAGATTATAAAATAATTTGCTTGTAACTATTTTTGGTTAAATAAGGTTTCATAAACGAGTGAGTCACGATTTTTGAATGGATCGACAGATGCATAAAAAATCAGGCCATAAACAAAAATCTAAAGTGATTAAGTTTCAAAGCAAAGAAAAAAAACAAATCCTGATTTTACAACTAAAAATACTTTTTAACGACGAATATTAGTTTCTGTATAAATTCATAGCAGCGTTGAAGCAATCGCTAGTTTTCATCCAAAGTGTATTAACGTTGTGTTTTCGAAAGTATTTAATGTATGGTGTGAATAAGCGAAAGACTGGTGTCAGCTTATACCATTATAAAAAATTCAGATTTATAGACAATTAGATTATTAGACTTTATAAATTCCTGAAACCCCTAGATTCGGTATTAGTGTGAAAAAAGTTTCTTCATGTTTTAAATATTTAATTTAGAGAAAAAGTTCAGTTTTTGCATTTTACGCGGATTTATTATTTTTTGTGTTCTCTACCGAAACAAATAAATAGTTCAAGGAAGGAAATTCTACTTAAAGTTTAAGGTATGCTTAGTCTGAATGAATTCAGTAATATTTAAAGAGTCAAAACAAGTATCTACACACAAATCTTCATTACACAAGAGAATAAAAATGCTCACTTTTGTTTTCTTAGAGATTCCACAAACATCGGCAGTTTTATAGGCAGGAAAAAAAGAAACTTCATTCGTAATTACACGAATTACCAGCATATCACCGAAGTCAAGCGTCACTAGCTGTCGTCAGTGTGTGTATGGGTGACCACTTGGATCAGTCTGCGCAAGTTCCGAATGTGTGCGGTATGTGTCCTCATTAATATGTTCTGCCGTAGCGTGCTCGACTCCACACGTAGGCCGTTGAGCTATCGAAGCGGGGTCGCCATCAAAATAGTGATAGCACGTCTTCGGATCATGCTCAGGGATGTTTCCCACCCCGTTGCTAATATCCCTTGTGCAGCTCTAGTGCAACGTAAATGAACCACAACTAGAACTATCTCTGATAGGGGCCGTGGTAGCTCAGTGTTTAGAGAATCGAACTCTGGTCCGGAAGGGCCGGTGTTCGATCCTGGACGCCGCTAAGACCCGTCGAGTCAATGCGATATACGTGCACGTAAAATCTGTGGAATCAAATATCCTGTGTTGGATCGCCGAGCAGTACCATGGGGGCAGAGATTTGGAGAAATGTCCTTATTCTTCAGATCTATGTCTGGATTCAGGCAGTTGCCTTAAAAAAATTGTGATGGCATGTCTTCGGATCATCCTCAGGGATGCTTCCCAGACCCGTCGCCTATAGCCATTGGCCAGCTCTAGTACGATGCAAATAAAATACCTACTAAACTCAGTGGCACGACAGCCCATAGAGGGCCTATTATGCCCATCTCAGTTTTCTTGACCTCGGACTCTGGGGTGCAGGAGTAGATGTTCTGTTTAGGTGGTCAGTTAAGAGCGGAACCTCCCGTGTTTAGCTCCCAAACATGCTTGGTACTCATTTATCGATCCACTGAAGGGATGAACGGCTCAGTCATTCTCATCCGGCCCGAGGATCGAACCCAGAACCTGTGGCCCTACCACTCAGCCATCGGGGACCTACTTACTTACCTGTCTCTAAAGGTATTTTTATCTAATGAGTGCCTTGGATGCTCTCCAAAGGTGCTGATACACCCTATTTGTTGTTTGCGGCTCTGCCCACTCAAAACCAGGTATTAAATCACTTTTTATTAAACCTAAATAGCTGAATTTTTCTTTGCTCAGCTACTTTCGCTATATATCTATAATTTCAACTCATCTCTCTCAAGATTCAGAGGATAAAATCGAGAATCATATTAGATCCTCTTCATCAACTGAACTCTGTGACTGATCTGTTACGTAGAGATAGCGTGTTCCCACTTACTGTCTCTGTGATGTCCTATTGTGTATTATTTGTTCTTAAATTTGACTTATGAGCCACCTCTGTCATGAGAAATACGGATATTTTATTTGTCAAATACTCAAAATACTTAACAAACAAATAGAGTCGATTACTCATTATTGAATCCAGTGATGAATTGAAACACTCATTTTTTAGTAAAATGAATAGTCTCAAAAATGATTCATCACATACTATGCTCTTTTTGAGTCATTTGTTGTTTAAACAAGAGTGGGTATAGTCTAAGAAAGGATTTACTTTTTTGTCATTTGCTGTTTAAATGAGAATAATTATAAAAATAAATTTATTTATTATTTTTCTTAATAAGGGTAGAAGAAGCTTTGAGTTGTATTGCATAAAAGTTTTTGTATCATTTTAAACTAAATAATTTTAGATGGCAAAATTCCTAATTTGGAACAAAATCATTCGAATATTTTTTTGAAAAATTTAAATTTTAAATTTTTTTTAAAGAATCAAAGATTAGGTTTTTTTAAAAAAAAATTTTAAATCTTAAATTGACTATTTGAACATTATTCGAACACACTATCATTTGAAGAGTTTTCAAACCCACTCTCTTTTCGAACAATTCTCCAACCCACAATCTTTCTATCGGTACTTATCCTCTATCATTGAATCATCCCTCGAACTCATTTTTTCTATCGGTACTAGAATCCACTAGTATTTACTCTCGGTTTTCGAACTCGCTATCATTGGTTTAATGCTGGTTTCTACTATGATTTGATCATTACTTGAATCCACTATCTTTTATCGGTACAAAGGAGGAAGTGGCATACCCTCTGGAGGTCGGTGAACACAACTCCAAGAGGATGCCGTGTGTTGTATATAGGAATAAAAATATATTAAAATGAAAAATTTATTAAAATAAATAAATAATAAATTAGAAAAATGAAATTTTTAAACATCAAAATGTTTTGCTTTGTTGTTGTTGTTAATTTACGTCGCACTAGAGCTGCACAATGGGCTGTTGGCGACGGTCTGGGAAACATCCCGGAGGATGATCCGAAGACATGCCATCACAATTTTGATCCTCTGCGGAGGGGATGGCACCCCCGCTTCGGTAACCCGACGACCTGCGTGCGAAGTCGAGCACTTCACAGTAGCACAGTTTAACGAGGACCAATACCGCACACCCTCGGTCCCTACGCAGACTGATCCAAGTGGTCACCCACCGGCACACTGACCGCAGCCAGTGATGCTTGACTTCGGTGATCTGCTGGGAGCCGTGTCTTAGCGATGATGATGATGGTAATGATTGTAAGACACTGCTTCCAGTAGATTACCGAAATCTTGCATTTCTGGCAGCGGTTAGTGAAAAGGGGGGGGGGGCGAGGGTTCGTCCTATCTGTGCTCATTGAACTGTTCTACCGTAATGTGCTCTTTTGCAACAAGTTGAAACATATTTTTTAAAACTTGAGGATAATTTAAGTATTTTGTTAACAATCCCACTACAAGAATTGCACGTGCTTTTAGCAAAATAAAAGCTATGAAAATCTATTTAAGATGTTACAAAGACACAAGTGAGTTCTTAAGCAATAATTTCTATCCAATTGATTATGAAGAGTCTATAAAACTATTTACGTCTGCTAAAGTACAAAAAAATACATTTTAATGTTCATACTTAGATGCATTTATGTCATAAAAAATTACATTCATTAAAAATATTACTTTTATTGGATATTTATATTAGAGTATTTGAGGCGATATTCTCATTCATTAAAGCTTTTTTTTAAACTTCGAAATCGTTGATTGTTATTCATTTTCATCACGCGTTTCTTAAATCACCATTCAGGGTAGATTTAGATTTTCTAATTCTCTGGTAGTAATATTGTAATTTAAAATATAAAAAGCAATTTTATACAGCGTTATGACAACACCAGAAAGAGAATTCAAAAAGTCTTCCACAATTGAGTTCAGTTTTCAGTATCAACCAGGGAGTGAAAATATCTTCTGTCAGCACTGTGTATAATATATATAGCACAATAAATAAATACGAAAAGAATAAAAAGATAGTTTGAAAAAAGTTGTGCTGATAAAAGATATAAAACTTGCCCTAATATTAACAAACATTCCATTCATAATAACGATACCTCCAAATCTGTTTGCAAAATTAAAAATGTTATTTATATATTAACCTGGGGTTTTTGTAATATGAAATATGCGAGACAAACCAGAAACTCTCTTAATATTCGAATTGATCAACACTGTTCAGATATAAACAGTAATGAAATTATCGGAATTTTATCATTTTAGAGAACATAATTTTAACAGTGTCAAAATTAATATTTTGAATATAGTAGATTTCGTTTTAGGACTACCAAAAGAAAATTGCTTCATGCTTTTATACAAAGCAATTTTGCCGTATGGGCTAAACGATACCTTCCAACATACACAGATTAACTTTTCATAACTTTTCCACTTATTCACTTTTTCATATTAAAGATAAACATGCAAATCGAGGTAAACGGGGATCAAGAAGTAATAGAAACTTTCTTAAAAGTGGCAAAATAAATGTAAATTTTATTTCTCATTTGGAAAAAGATTTCAATAAACATTTTAATATTAAACCAATGAAAGATTTTGTTTTTTCCCTTAATAATAATGATGTATATAAGCTTAAAGATCTTTTATTAATTCAAAATTCTTTGTTTCTATCTTGTAAAGGTTAAAATGAGTTAAATTTCTCCAAATCGAAACAAAAATTTAAATAATTTATATTTCGTTATTATCTTTCAAAACCCTATTTTCGATAAGATCAGGTTTCATAATATTTTTTTTTAAATTTAAAAATTTTGTTTCCATTAAAAGATTTTTAAGATAATTAAAACCTTTAAATATAATAACTCTTAGTAGAAATATATTTAATTATAATGATCTAAGCAAATATTTAGGAAGGAATTAATATATCCGATTATGAATGTCACTGTGAAGACGAGAAATATATTGATGATTTTGTTGATAAGCATCATAAACATATTATAAGTTTTAATTTAAATATTATAGAGTGATTAGAACTTTTTAATTTAATTATAAAAGGCACAAAATTTAGACCCATTTACCATGCATCAGTTAATAAAATTCTAAAATGCTTTCTTAATCCCAATAGTTTTGGTTTAAAGATATGAAATAGATTCTCTTTACCTTTAGGTATATAAACAGAATGTAATGTTTATTATTACTTTAAAAACTTTGATTTCAGTAATAAGGAAAATTAAAATAACAGTAACAATTCAGCAATTTTTTTCTAAAATTATTCAAACAATTAAGCAACTATAAAAATTTTTGTAATTACCCCCTTAGACAAAGCTAACAATATTTATGCAATCTTCCGTAAAGAATTCTATGTTGAACTTTTAAATACGGAGTTTTAGCTTAGTTATTTAAATAATATCGTTAATAAACTTAGTAAAATTTAGTAAATTTATATAAAACTCATTTCAATATAATAATAATTCATAATTTTTAATCTCTCATATAAGAGATAGAAAATTAAAATTAGCAATAAACAATTTCCTTACTTAATTATCAAACCTAAATTTCATAAAATTGCTATAAAATTTAGAACAATTAATTACATGTGGGTCTAATACTTACTTAACCTGGTACCATTTTCTCTAACTACTTAAATAAAATTATTAACAATATTATTAAAGAAACTTTTTTTTGGATTATCACTAATAATCAATCGATTTTAGAATTTATTAAACAAAGTAAAATAAATTCTATTACGACTTTTGATTTCCAGGATCTTTTCCATAGCATTCTCCTTTCTAAACTAAAATATGTTCTTTTGATTTATTACTAGGATTTTAAAAATATCCTTAATTGCGATTTTAATTATGGGTTAATTCTAATTAATTACTGTCTTTTTAATAATTATCCTTACAATGGAAAACATATTTTTATTCAAATTGATGGAATACCAAAAAGATCTAATTTATCAACTCTCTTAGCTAACTTATTTTTGCACAATTATGAAAAAAATTATACTCTTAATATTAAATTTGTTTTTAGATATATTGATGATTTAATTATCTTTAACTTTCAAGATTGTGCAATTATGTTAAATGATATTTTACCTGAGGAATTAATATTGCTTCTTAATCATAATGATAACAATTTTAATTTTTTTGGATTCGAGTATTAAAAAAGGAGAAAATACCTGCTTTATTGATTTATATGATAAAAGAAATTATTTAGTATTAATATAAATAAAATAATTACTTGGAATTCTAACGTTTCTAAAAACATTTATTTAAATAGCATTTTTGATCAAATGAATAGAATCAAAGAATATGTAGTAATGTTTATTTATCCAAAAACATAAATCGACAAACTCTTTCAAAATTTGATTTAAAAAAAAAAACCCAGCTAATGTTATAATGTTCTACATAAAATCAATAAGTTAATTGTATGTTATTATAAATAAATTTACAAAAAACTTACTTAAATTTATGCTATGTGCAAATCCAGATCGGGCAAATCCGCAGCGAAGAACCTGTGCAAAATGAGCAAAGTTTTTCTTTTCTTTTTTTAAAAATCTACTTTCTAAAGTCATTAAAATTGTGTAATTAAATATCAACCATATTAATTTTATTTATACTTTATAAACGTCGTTGAACAGCCGAACCAATTTTTTTATTTATGTTTTGGATTTTTTTGGGTTTGGATCTACAAATGTTCAACTCCGTTGCCTTGTAATTTTGAACCCAATCCAGAAGACAAGGGAACTCTTGGCTTAAGTATTGGTAGAAATGTGCCTTCGTGGAGGACTTTTTTAATGAAACTAACCCGCATTTGCGTTACATGGAGAGGAAAACCACGAAAGCCTTTCACAATTACCTTGACGGCAAAGGGACTCTAACCCGTCTACCACTGAGGATATTTTGCGTCTGCACTGTGGTCGGTGCTAGCCGGATGCGACCAGCCATCGGTGGGAATTTAAATACGGTTCACTTCATTGGAAGGCAAACGCTCTATCCCCTGACCCATCCTTGCTCCATCCATATTAATTTTGTTTTATTTTATAACCGTTGTTGAACAGCCGACCCAATTTTTGGGTTTACAACAACTAAAATTCAACACCATAGCCTTGTAATTTTGAACCAATCCAAAAGACAAGGAAACTCCTGGATCAGTAGCCCCAGAGGTATTGATTTGTTATAGGAACATGGAGGACTTTGTGATTCGGCAGATTTAACGTGCATCAGTCACCATTTACTACACGGAGAGTCTTCGGCCGGCAGGGATCGAACCCATGACCTCTTGGACATCTCTTACCAACAAGGTATCCCGGCTCCTAACCATATTACTTGCAAGCTTTAAATCATCCAGTATGATATTATTACCTTGTACGCATCCATTTTCGAGCCAATCCATGGTAACAAACAATTTAAAAGCTCTTGAGTACTGCAGTAAGAAAGCGACATAAAAGTGCCCTCTATTTGCGCTTCTAACTCTAATTGCGCTTCCGTATTCTTATTTTGTAATCTGTCAATCTTATTAGTAAAATATTTTAAATCATTCTTGAAAGATTTCGATTCGTGTAAGTTCAATTGACTTCCCTACGCGCTTTGCAGATTTTGTTTTGTGTTTTATTCTGTATTTTCTGTGTTTTGCTTAATTTGTTTATTTCGTATATATATTTTACATAATGTGTTGTATTTCTTTTTTCAATTTTTTTTAAATGTTCCTCATACTATTTATTGTATTAATATATTTTGCTTTGGCTATATTGATACAATATTAGAAAGCACTTCTCGTAGCGGATACAATCGTGTGAGCTGATGAAAAGATTATATCTACTCATTACTTTGTTTTCCGGCTTTTTAATTTTTAAAAAAATCTTTTCTTTAATATTTTTTAAAATTATTTTATTTTCTTCTCCTCTTTTCAATAATCATTGTTATTTTTCATGTTTTCTTTATATTTTTAACTTATTTATTGAGTTCCATATACTCGCAGATTATGCTCAGTATATTAAACTTTGTTTTAATCGTTAGTCTCTCTCTCTCTATATATATATAACCTGATATATATATTTATATATATATATATAACCTGAGTTAACTAGACGTATGTTAATTATTGCAGTCCAGCATATATAATATTTTACCTATAAAGTATTATTTTACAGGGTAATTTATTGTATTCATTAACGACGAAAAAGTTTTTCTTTTAGTTACTAAAATCCTATTAAAGTTAAGTATTACTTAGTTAATTAGTCATTGGCCAATATAAATATTTTTTCAGCTATTAATTAAATATTAAGATTATTTCTGTGCACTCCCTATGCAACGAACTCACGTTATAACGTCCGTTTTAATGCTGGGCTCAAGGTACGTCCTATCGAGTGCCGACTGAAATATTATTATACAGTCAAACCCCGCTATAGTGAACTCCCGGATATAGTGAACGAAATGTTCGTTCCCGTGCCTTGCTAAATAAAAATGAACACATTTTCTGTTACTACTTATTGTTTTTTAATCATTTTTGTATTTCTTTTTCCAGGTCATTTATT